TGTTAGTTTCAGATGTTGATCAGTTTTTTTGTTTCTCTCTTGTGATCCCTGTGTCATCAGCTCAGTTTCTCCTCTGTGCCCCGCCCACTCTCACCTGATTCTGGTTGTCTCTCCCCAGGTGTTTGTCCTTTCTCCCTTGTTAGTGTTCCTTTTTATATTCTGCTGTTTCTACTGTATTTGTCAGCACATCAAGTCTAACTTTTATTTATTTAGAAACCAATTAATAGAATTTGAATTCATTTTTACAAACACAACACTTTAGAAAATATTCCATATTCAAACAATGCTACATATACGCACCATAAGTTTTTTTTTGCCAGCATGATCATGTAAAGACGCAGGCTATATGCATTCTTAAAAACACAGAGATTAAATGTTTTTTTTTGTCCTTTTATCACAATATAAACCACAGCCAAGCACAAATGGGGTGCCGTTTGTAAAGTTACACAGTCAAAAATTACCACCAATATTTTTGTTTTATTTTGCCTTTTATTAGAAAAAAAGAACAGATTTATTTTTCAAAGTCCGTTTTTCACCATATGATTCATACATTTATAAATGTCATAGTTTATAAACTAAATATTTAACTTACAAATTAAATATTTAGTTAACAAGCAAATATTTAGGTTGCAAGTTAAATATTTAGGTGACTAGCTAAATATTTAACTTGCTAGCTAAATATTTAGCTCAAAACTAAATATTTAAGTCACACGTTAAATATTTAGCTTGTTAACTAAATATTTAATTTGTAAGTTAAATATTTAGTTTATAAACTATGACTTTTATAAATGTATGAATCATATGGTACAAAACTGACTTTGAAAAATAAATCTGTTCTTTTGTTCTTATAAAAGGCTAAATAAAACAAAAATATTGGTGGTAATTTTTGACTGTGTAACTTCACAAATGGCACCCCATACAAATGTTTCTATCTTGTGGTCTTTTAGTTGCTTTGACGTTTTGACAAGCATCCACATGTCCTCCACAGAATTCACCGGACCTAATGAAGGACACACACCTGTCTGTGCGAGTTAGATAGTGAAAATTAAATTGTGCAGCTGAGGGAATTGTTGGAGGACTTGTAAAGTAGAAGTATGTCAAAGCCAAAATAAAATAAAATCAATAAAAAATCCTGCAGCAGTGACGGTGTCTAAACAGTRTCTAACATGTCTTTTAGACTCACATCATCTTTTTGTTGTGAAATGATGGATTTGTCATAATAATCACTTTCTAAGTTTCACTAAAATCCAACCAGTGATTTATGAGATATTTTGCTAACAGACAGGCAGGGTTGACTCCAAAGTATGTGCTGGGGAAAATGCTCCGTTACCTTCACTCAGTATCTGCAAAATTGTCTGAATRAGAGCCATTTCTGTGTTTTCTAATGTCAGTCAGCAGCCATCTTGAATTTCTTTTTACRCTAAAAGTTAARCAGTTGTAGATGTATTCAAAAATGTTTTAATAAAACCTGTTCACTGATMCCTGGWGTGATTTATTGGTGGAARAAAAAGGGTTTGAAAACAATTACAMTTGACCTAAATTGTTTAAAAATGTAACTGGACTAAATTTAACCGGGTTTTATGATAATTTTGACATAATTTCAGCTGCAAACTCCAAATAACTCTTTAGTAAAAACGTGTCTCGATGCACATTTGTTTTGTTGCTGCCCTCTTAAAAAAATCAAATCACTGAGCCTGACGGTTCTGAAAGTGAAGCGTCATTCTTGTCTAGTCTGTCCTTGTCTAAAGTGTCTCATCTTATGACCCTTGTTGGCTGTTTTATCTGGAAGCTTGTTAAACATGTTTAACAGCCTCCTCCCTGTCAGCACACCACYAGTAGGTATGCAAATTTATGCAGGCAGACACAGACACAGACGACATTGGACCACCTCTTTCTGACAGAACCAGAGCGCAGGAACAAGTGTTTGCTTTTCACACACACAAGAACAAGAACCAGGCTGAAAACCAACATTTGTTACAAAAATGAAAGAAAACTAGACATGGGTTTTTACGATGTAAAAACAAGTGTGCATTGCCATGTAGCATGTCATTGCCTGCAGCATTGGACTTTGACCAAGTTCAAATGTGTTTGCTATACCAGCTTGTGCCTGTCACGTCAGCAGGTGTTTGTAATTAAGGTAATTGTGTGACAATATGAAGTTTGAAGAGAMAGATTTTTTGTTTAAGTTGCYTTAGCTGGGTTTTAGAACCCTGATCTCCCACATGAAAGTCCATGACATAGACCATTAGACCAATGGAGCTGTGGCAGAAGGTGGTGGCAGGGGTTGGTTTGTGTGTGTTCAGAAAGWGGCCACATTGCCAATACAATTATTGACACAAAAATGCATAATATTACAACAAAAGAGCAGTATTAAGACAATATTATAGTAAAACATCAAAATACAATCACATTAGTATTGTAAACACTGAACTATTGAGATTAAATATAAAAAACTATGGTGCAGAACCAAGTTGAGTACAGCTGGGGGCAGAATTAGACCATCACAAGGCCCCATTGACTACCATTATATGAATTTGGAATAAAGTTGAAACATTAATATTTCAAAAACTACAAGTTAAACAGGTACCAAAAGGCAAAGCAATCATTTGGCACAGGACCTTTGCAGATAGAAATTACAATGGCAGCTGTAGGACAATGTATGCAAGAGCATTGGACTTTCAGAATGAACTTTGACCAAGATCATATGTGTTTTCTAAGCCAGCTTGTGCCTGTCACATCAGCAGGTGTTTGTAATTAAGGTAGAGTGACAATATGAAGTTGGAAGAGATTTTTTGTTAAAGCTGCAGTAGCTGGATTTGAACCCTGATCTCCCGCATGAAAGCCCACAGTGCTCATCATGAGACTATAGGAGATGTGGCAGAGGACAATCCCAGGGTTGGATTGTATGTATACAGAAAACGTTTACCTTGCCAATGCAATTATTGACACTTAAATGCAATATATTACAGCAATAGGACAACATAAAGACAGTATTGTAGTAAAACATCAAAACACAATCATATCAATTTTGTAATCACTGAACTACTGAGTTTAAATATTATAAAACTATGGTGCAGTACCATATTGTGTAGAGGCAGCAGGAGGCAGTACTAGACCAATACAAGGCTCCATTGACTGCTATTATAATTTATTAAACATTAATATTTCAAAAACTATAAGTTTTACAGGCACCAAAAGGCATAGCCATCATTTGGCACAGGGGCTTTACAGATATAAATTACAATGGCAGCTCTAGGACAAAGTATGCAGGAGGAGAAGCATGGCAAAGTGGAGATGACTTGGATGGGAAACGAATCACAATAGTWTGCATTGCATTGGCAATGCACACTGATGAAACAATAGTATTCAGAGTTTTTTAATACACACATCGATCTGCATTAGCATCATCACTGTCTCAGAGTGGCACCTTTTTATATTGTCAATAACTCAAGTTTAAAGAGTTTGTGTGATAAAGTTTTTAGAATATTGTTCCTGCCGGAATAAAATATTATAATCCTGCAATCAACTTTGTCAGAAAATGAGTACTGGTATCAGATCGATTCTAGCATGATGAGATCAATTCTTTTTTGCATTGCTGACTTTATTTTTCACAAATAAAGTCAAAAACTATGACGGAGAATTAGAGCCACTTAACGAAATTGTTATGCTTTTATTACGACATTAAAGTTGTAACATTACGGGAGTAAAGTCATATGAGAATAAAGTTGTAACATTATGAGAATAAAGTCATAATATTACGTGAACAAGTTTTACCACTGCATTAACACATTAAAATGAGGAATGTTGAGCAACTTATAAAGTTGTTTTTTAGTTTCAGTTAAAAGGAATACGTAATCTTTTAGCACATTAGCATCAAATTTTCAATAGCAGGACTTAGAAACGATTGTGCAAACGACTACATAATAAACTGAAGTTGTGTTGTAATTAATGGCTGCATTGACAGAWTTAGTTGTCTCYTAATTTGGATGGAAGCACTTTACACAAACAGTGACRRAAAATTCATRMTGGACAACTTCATAAACAAAGAGACACACATGGCTGTCCAGGGCAGGTGTGAGGAAAATGATGAGGAACTTAGTAAAAAAAATCAGGAATAGAAAATGGACATCATGAAAGATTACGACTTTATTCGCATAATTTTACGACTTTAATCTTGTAATATTATGACTTTATTCTTGTAATTAAAAAATAGTGTTGTGTGGCCCTAATACTCCGTCATAAAAGAGAAGTCATTAGTGCAGAATCTCCAAATGGGAGTTAGTCCTTCATACTACATCATGGCTTGGGCAATGGAAATTACATTTTGTTGTCATTGACATTGTTATGTTCATGTTTTTGTTACATTGCTGCTTCCTTTTTTTTTTTTTGTTATTTTGCATTAGTGACTTTTTTAAACAATTGTGTGTACTAGAAGGCAACAGGGGTATTTTTTGTGCTGTTTTATGTTGAAGTAAGTTCACACAAAACATTTTTATTTGCTTTTTCTGGTGTTTTTTTTTTTTGTAATCAACTAAAGGCGAGATCATCAGTATTTAATGAACATTACAAGTATCGGAATTAGCAATACTAGCCCTGTATTTACTGTATTTACTTGAATCAATACCAAATTTCCCAATATCACCCACCCTATTATAGACATAGATGTACAGTATAATTTAATCTAAATCAACCACTTCCACAACAGCAATGAAACTAATTGTGTTGCTAAACTGAAGCAGACAAAATGAGAAGCAGACACTTTAATCTTTTGTCAACACCTGGATGCACATTTAAAGAGATTTTCTAAGTGTGGATTTTTCCCCCTAACCACATTTTGACACATAAAACCTGTACTTTTTTTTTTTGTCAAAGTGCACATTTTAGGGTATTAAATGTAAATCCCTGTGACTGCAAACATCAACTCTGTTTAGGAGGTCTGCTGTTGAGTCATTTTTAAGACGGCCTGAATTATAAGTGAGACTCTGCTTGTTGTTTTACAGGCGGAGGGATCCTCCTTTTTGCAGATGGGAGCTTCTCTGGAGCAGCAGGTCATCTGCATGTTCAAGGTATGGAATTACAATGTGTCAAATCTCATTTACACACTGGGGGGGAGGGGGGAATCAATGTAAGCTTTCATAATAAATAATTTGAAAATGAAGCTTGACAACATGGGATCTCTCAGGCTGATTAACACCATGAAGGGACATCCCAAGAGTCAGTGGGGGGAATCCCTGATTTGAAGTTCAGACCCAGATCGCAGAAACTAATACAGRCTGATGGACTACACACGTTCTCATGGGATTAGACAACGTCATCGTCACATGTTTTATTTTTATTTTTTTGGAAGTCAGTAGGATAATCTCAGAAAAGTCTGTTGTGCTCTAATTTTAACTGATTATGTGGAGCATTTTTACAACTGAGAGCTGTTTATTTAGCTACGCAGAAATCAGTGAAAGACAGCGTAGAACATAAAATCAACTCAAGTTATTCCTAAATTGTAAAACTCAAATGATCAGCAGATTAGTGGTCGTTTTTACTCATCAAATCACTCCAGAATCATTAAATGTCTAAGTGCAGTCAACTACAACCACTGGTAAGACAGCTTTGGTTGGACTAAGCTGTTTAAGTACGTAACTATTTAAAGAGCAGATATATAATAGTTTAGCTAGAGTGATGACAGCATGTGGAAATGTTATTACAAATACTTCAGAATACCTGCACATTGTGAAAATACGCAAATTTTAGATACGTTCCAGAAAAGGTATAGTGCATTTGGAGTTGCATCATAATGCAGTTAACACATTACAAACCAAACAAAAACACACGAGAGCTAAATTTAGTAGCTACACACCGCTCCACACAGTTAGAAGGTGGAAATGTGGCACTCAGTGGCAGAGCGTAGGCACAAAGCATGTGTCACAAACTGAACTGTATTGTTTTTTTTTTTTTTTTTTACTGGAACTGAATTTACATTGATATTTATGTTACAAAAAAAGTAAATTATATTGTTCTTAATAAGTTAGCTCGAAAAATCACGAAAAACAGGAGAGAGGAAAAAAAAAACTTAACAAAACACAAACTAGTTGTTAGGTTCCATGAAAAAAATCCACAGTGAAACACAACTTTGCAGAACTTCACTGTATTCTCTTGTACATTTTTAAAGCTGCTTATTTTGCTGCATTGAATCATATATTAAAAATTTATAACTGTTAAAACAAATTTTTGTATTAAGGCAGGGCTCATTGGTGGACTACATGGAAGTTGTTGTCCATCCATCCATCCATCCATCCATCCATCCATCATCTTCCGCTTTATCCGAAGTCGGGTCTCAGGGGCAGCAGCTTGAGCAGCCCAGGCCTCTCTTTCCGCAGTCACCTCTTCCAGGTCTTCTGCGAGTACTCCAAGGTGTTCCCAGGCCAGCCGAGAGACATAGTCTCTCCAGAGTGTCCTGGGTCTTCCTCTGGATCTCCACCCAGTTGGACCTACTGTACCTGAAGCACCTCCCTAGGGAAGCGTCCAGGAGGCATCCCTACCAGATGTCCGAACCACCTCAACTGGCTCCTCTCGATGTGSAGGAGCAGCTCTARTCTGAGTCTCTCTAAGATACCTGAACTTCTTAGCCTATCTCTAAGGGAGAGTCCAGCTATCCTGCAGAGAAAACTCATTTCGACCACTTAWATCTGCGATCTTGTTCCTTCTGTCACTACCCTGCAGGCCACCAGATGAACAACCCTGACCTATTGGCAGCAATGAATCTCACCTTACACCCAGTGAACATTTGAGTGTATTTCTGTTCAGTGGTTGAAGACAATCCTCTAATCTAAGCATTCAACTTCCAAATTGCTACTTTAAATCCACGTTATGACCTCATTATCTTAAATATTACCCCTTTATTCCTCTCCTTTGTTTCAGATCTTGGAGGAGTARGACTGGGGCGAGTTTGCGGTGGTCACCAGCTTGATGCCAGGCTACGACACTTTTGTGGATATTGTTCAGTCGTACACAGACACTTCCTACTTCCTGTGGAACCTGCAGGATATTATGACCCTGGAAATGTCTGTTGGGGCAAATGACTTGAGGACCAAACGCATGCTGCAGCAGGTATGAGCAACGAACGGTTTGGTAAAGGTTTGAACAAGAAGTCTTTTGCAAGTTAAATGGCCCAGCATCAAAACAGCAAAGCTGCCGAGTCGCTTCATCATTTTTATTTTTTATAAACCTCATAACTTTTTTAAGTATGTTTTGCTTTTTGAGTGTTTGCCAGTTCCTGGAGCTAAATGGTAACTCCCCCCAAAAAAACGTTTTGAAATTTGACTCAGAAAACCTATCTGTCAGTCTAGCTTCTGTACTTTTACACCCACCCAGCATCAGTGGGGCAAAGGTGTTGACCTTTAAAAAGTAGATAGTGTTTATCTGTAAAAGCAAAGCTATTGCCAAAGCAAAGCTCACAAACAACAAGTGAGGTCTTCAAAACCAAATGTGACGTGAAACAGGGTCCTATTTTGAGAAAGTACAAACATTTTTTTCAGTTTAACCTCTAATGACCAGCGTTTTAACCAAAAAGTGCGTTATTGCTCAAAAGCTCTGTGTCGTAAAGGTTGAACATTGCTGTTGCTATTTCACAGTAAACACAGTAAAACAGCTGTTTCTGTAAATTCCAACTAGATCGTCCATTTTCTGTCTGCAGTTGGACTCCCAGGTCCTGCTGGCGTACTGTTCACACGAGGAGGCGCAGTACTTGTTCCGTCTCGCCGCTGAGTTGGGCCTGCTGGGGCCCGGCTACATCTGGATCCTCCCCAGTCTGGCCGTGGGCAACCCCAACAGCCTTCCACCTGCCACCTTCCCCGTAGGCGTGATCGGCGTGATAACAGACCAGTGGAGGAAAAGTTTGCGGCAGAGAGTGAGGGAGGGGGTCGCCATCATAGCCAAAGGGGCAGAGAGCTTCAAGAGGACTTATGGTTTCATTCCCGAGGGACACGGTGACTGCAACAAACCAGCCAAACAGTCAGACAACATCACTCTGTTCAGGTGTGGCAAACTTATACCTTTATCTTTCCATTTTTCTTTAAAGATGTTCCTCTTTTTAATCCTCTGCATTGTTGATGCCTAAATATGTCCACATTTAATAAAAATATATGATTTTATCGGGATGACCCGATACCGGTTTTTCCTCAGACTGAGTACAAGTACTGTATTTATTCAAGTATAATATGTTAAATTAAATCCATAAAATCARCCATAAAGTTGGGGGGTAGTACTGTACTCGGATACATATTTTTACTTATATATTTTAACTGAAATATTGGCTTCATTCACAAAATGCCTGAGTCCGGAAATGAGACCACGACATAAAAAGCAGTTGAAGCAAGCTTACCTCTGACACTCCTCCGTGCTTCAGAGCGAGATAATAACAAATCCAGGCAGGTGACATGATGTGAAAAAAAAAAAGAAAAAAGTATTCCCGTACCTTAGTAATGATAACCAACTAATGTCATTAGCGTGTGACCGGGTCGCTCCTTGAACAACAACAAACATGTTCGTCTGTAATGGCTGCCGTCTACCAGTGTTCTGGAAAAGTTTGTATCTCTGAAAAAAAGTTTCCCCACCAGAGGGGGCGCTCACGAGTAGGAAGTAATCTGCTTTTCCCCCACAAGATGGRCCAAATCTCATGTGAAGTCTCTGACTTTTGTGTTGGCGCATCCTGGTGGACTATGTATAAAATGTCAGAATTCATATGATGCTGCTACAGCTGATATATATTTGTTGTTAAATACCTTTTAGTACATATGTTGTTAAAATAAAATGAACAGTCCAATGATCATTTTACTGATATGTATAAAGACTGCAAAGTCTGAAAAAACTTGATCTGTATGAAATTGGAGGTAGTTTGAGTTTTAAATTTTTTATACTTTTTAAGCTAAAAATAGTGGGGGGGTGGTCTTATTATACATGAGATCGTATTATACACGAATAAATACAGTACTTCAATTTGGGTATTTGCCAATACCAAGTACTGATACAGAGTACTTACTGAGTTAGAACTTAAACATTAAACAGTTATTATGAAAAGAATTCTTTTAGTTAGAACAAATCTGATGCTATTAAAAGTGACCTCAACCTAATCGCTCATGTTGCATTTCATCCGACTTTTATGTCAGTAAGGTGGGAGAATATGGTTTGATCCAAGTAATAATGAAATTTACCTGGAGTCATGTTTAAATTTTGTAACTCCACATGTCTTCAGCTACCGAACAGAAGTTTAGTTGCTTTGTCTTTTTCTTTTAATTTTCCATTTCCTGGATGACTGAGAATCCACAGAAATATATGGTAGAAACGTCGATTCCGGGCCGTGTTGATATTAAAGTTACAGGATCGATACATCGAATATGACAGCACCGCAGCAGCCGACCTGAGGCAGGTAAACAGTGAACTAAACAAGCACATCAGAAGATTATTTAATCGCCTCCGATTGCACAACAACATGCTAACATGTAGCATCCARYGATATGGACCTGRTTACTTCTGTAAACAGCACGCTGAACGCAATCACATTATCTTCTTTGCCTCTGTGTCCTGTTGATGGCATAGAGCAATCCCACTGGAGTCTGATGGAGGTCACATTTAAAACGAGCCCGTGAGGAGACGTGGGAGATTWTTTTTCTTTTGCGTTCCCACGCAATAGTATTGCGTTACCTCACAATACCGTTTGCATTCCCTCGCAAAAGTCGTTTATCACTGTTGTGCCTGCTGGTTTATTAACAAATTCACATGTTCACCATTAGCGAGTTAGCCTACTGCTTTAATTCAGCTTTAGGATGAATATATCGCACAGCCACGCATGGAAGTATGTCATATGCCGATATCTTTAACACAATGCAGCCACGCAACATCAATGTCAGTTTCACGAACTGTGGCGACACAACCTGTTTTGGTAACCGGATATTTC